TGTTATAGTCAAAGTGTAATACATTTGACCCAAAATCAAATGTATCATGAAAGGAACAAAAAACATTGACATTAAATATCACTTCCTTCATGAGCTTATGACTCAAGGTATAGTCACAGTGAAGAAGGTTGCTGCAACAGAGAACCTAATAGATATGTTTACTAAGCCAATACCAGTGCTCAAGTTCAAGCATTGTTTGGACTTGATTGATGTTTGCATTGTTTGAGTTGTACCCTTTGGGGTATTTGGCTAAGACAATGGTCAAGTTAACTTTGGTTGGATGACTTGATAGAATACAATTACTACAAGAAATTAGTCTTTTAGCCGCGAAAATTAATGCGGCTAAATGTATAAAAATTGTCACTATATACTTTAGTGACAATGTTTTTATTGCCACTTGGCCGCAATAATATGTGTGTGGCTAAATCATTTAACTATGACATTTAATTGTTGCTACTAAAAGTAAATTTTTTAGCCACAAAGTGAAAATTGTCACTAAATGTGAAATCTTTACCCACAATAATTATTGTAGCAAGTTAACGTAATTTTGCCACTAAAATATACCATATCCCCACTAGAAGTCTAATTAAAACATGACTTTTAGTTACAACAATTAATTGTGACTAAAAATATACATTTTACCCACAACTAAAATCACCACTAAAATTTGGAACATGTTTTTAGTAACAACTTATTATCGCGGCTAATACATTAAAATGAATAGAAAAAATACCTATCGCATATTTGAAAGAATTTGCTTTTAAATATTTTCCAATTTCACATATCTGTTATAGTTTAATGAATCTATATATATATATATATATATATATATATATACCTAATGAGGAAACAAACAACATAAAAAACACTCACTTTCAAAGATATAATTCCCAAACCAAATCACGTGAAAATAATATTTTGATATTAGTATCGTTAAATTATATATGTACAACACATCATTATCAAAGAATAGGAATGAACAAAAAAGGTTATGACCCCTAGCAACTAGATAATGATACCCCACTCAAAAGAAAATAATCGTATAACAATCAAGTTTCAACTACATATTCGTTTTTTGGCAGGTTATTGGATCTTTCGTCTTTAGTCTTTAGAGGCAAGTCTTCCAAAGTTGTTTTCGGAGCTTCCACTGGTTTGTACCTAACAAAAATTACCAAGCATTAATAGGAAGCACAAAGAGTGCAACATATGAACAATCAACCACATATCACATAAGAATTTATCTAAATTAAATTTTAAAATCTAATAGTACCTACTCTTTGCAAATTATGCATCAAAGCTTTGTATCTAGTCCAAAGCTTTGTAACATAAGCGAAACAAAACTGGGCAACAACCTTTACTCAAAGGTTCAGCATAAATCAAAGATCCTTTACTTGACAAATTAACCAAAGAGGACTTACATAGACTTCTCCTGATCTTGTGCCAACCCAAGCATTCCTCTTCATACTAAACTTGGTTGTTAATCATAGTTCTGTACGGTTAGGCTCCTCTCCAGTTTAAAGATCCTGCTATCATGCATTAAACATTAATAGAAAAAATTTACATAAATATGCATGTATACATGTGTATAATTAATCACATAAGTGCAATAGACATTTAAAAAACAACTCACTATCGTATAATTTATTCGAGCGAAACTCTTTGTCCCAGCAATATGGCCCATGTCCTGTTTTGCTCGGTTCTCCTTGTTTCTTTTTCTTATTTTCTGAATATGTGAGTTAAAAGAAAATTTCAAGCTATAGTGATGATCACTATTGGATAGTTTAAAACATGCAGGCATACTTAAAAGTCCTAAACAATAGCAAAGTTTCAGCTGTGCATACCTTGAAATCCACAGATCCAAAACAACCATTAAGATTAGTCCAGTCATTTGGGCTCACATCTGGCGGACAATTTTGAAGTCTAATCTCATAAGTGTCATATCTGCACTAATGATTCATATGCAGCTTGTGTCGATGATGCCTATATTGCCGATTTAGCTATTAGTATATAGCTTCCTTGCTGCAAGATATAGGAAGCAAACTAAATCAAATAAGGATGCCCCTATAACTAATCTAGTTAAAATCCTCTGTTTTGTAGAGAAAAACTCAAGATGTTTAACTTAATATAACCAAATCTACCTAGTAAGATCAACAGAGTCTTACTGAATCGCCTCAAAATTTATCCAATTCACTATTGGAAACATATTTAATCAAATATCACCAGATCTGGTCTTAATCGACCTAGTGTACCCCAATGACAAATCTTGAATACAAATAAAATAAATGCATAAGAAAGGAGATCAGAGCAAACCTTCAAATGGGCAGCAACTTTGTTATTGCCAGTGAAGACTCTAGTAGACTCCACAACAACATCAGCACTAGTTTCACCCCATGGGACTTGCTCAGGGTTCCTAAATGATCCCACATAAGCAAACAGTTTAAAAAAATTCTCCAAAAATTTATACATAGTTTCACTCCATGAGTTGAATGGTTTGTGCTTTATATGTGTGTAGAGGTTTGAATTTTTAGAGGAAAACAAATTAAAAAAAATTATAACACTTGAGTACATATAGATGGATCACAAATTATTCATATCATGATTATGGGGACTCTCGAATATTGACTACTAGATCAGACAATAATCCTACAATGACTCTAAGTAGCCCTAACTAGACCTAGGTAGATTCAAAGCAGGGTGAGTGTGCCAAACAAGCAAAAGCCTCATGAAGTTTAGATGTATAGCAAGAACTTCACCAAACAGATGACATTCATAGTTTTCAATAAAGCTTCTTATCCATTAACTCAGATACATAGTTTTCAATCATGCTATTTGCAGAGTTGGCATGGATTCAATAGCAAAGAAGTAATTAAGCTCTTGAATAATGGCCCAATCGTTCAATCATATGAGGAAAGAAAAGAATCAAAAAAAGTAAAAGAAACAACTGACCAAACACCGCAATAATTTCCACTAACTCACCACACATAAAATTCCTACTAAGAAAAAACCCTAAACTATTTCAAGATCAAGCTAAATAATTTTTCAATGCAAATTCATATAAATATGAAGCTGGCACTCTCCAAATTCATGGCATAGTGTGAAGATGCAAGCTACAAATTTCTCTCAAAAGCAACTTACATGCGACAATCTATGGCTATATAGATCCCGATTAAGTGTGTGTGTGTGTGAAGACAAAGTGATTGTGTGTACGATTGAGTGTATGGTTGTGTGTGTGTGTGAGGTAGAGTGACTGGTGAATACCAGTAGAAGATGCAAAAATAGAGATCGTTGAAGAATACGATCTTTGTAGATCTGTTGGGGAGAGGTCTAGTGTTAAAACTTATAGATCTATGCCCTAGCGGGCGGATTAGGACAGATCGTCCATGGTAGAGAGGTTGTCCATGGAAACGAGGTTAATGGCAGAAAGGCTGAAGAAGATGATATTTGAAGAAGATTTGGGAAGAATTGACTGTAGTGTGACGGATAAATGTTGCGGAAGAATTGGGAAGCGGTTGATGCCTCAGGATAAATGTTGATGAATATCTGCAAATCTCAAGCATCTACACTGGACGCAGGACACAGTCACATTTCTAAATAAACTCTAATATTCTTTCAAACTACATTGGCCTTAATTCTATATTGGATACATAGGTAGTCCAACAAAAACACTGGACACAGTCACACCTCTAAAAAATTCCATAGCCTCAGAACTACAATTAACTTGATTTCTCTCTTGAATATATAGGTAGTCTAGTTAAACTAGATGCAATCACAACTCCCAATAAATCCCAAAATTTTTCTTGTACGTCAATTGAGCCTTAAACCCATATCAAACTCAAATGGTCATTTACCGATTTCAAACATGAAGGACATTTTATCCATTCAAGATTAATGGAAAATCTACCCGTTGATCTTACCCAAAAAATTAATTTAACCTTTCTAAACTATGAATCTGCTTGATCCCGATAACGGGTATGTAGAGTAGCTTAGACAAATAACCTAGGTCTAGCCACGAAAATAAAAAAATAAAATATTTTTTTCCATTCCCTCGTGAGGTAGACGGTGTCGTGTGGTAATTTCTCATTATAATCAAAAGATGTTCTCTTGAAGAAAGGGAATTTTTTTGGGTTAAACTTTGCCTGTGCGAGGAAGAACTTTATTCAAAACTCAAAAATTTAACAACTTAGATTGGGGGACATTCGGCCTTACCTCTTGAAATTTGCCTCATTTACAAGAATTTCAAAGCAATTCAAAATTTAAAGATGCCTACATTTTTGGAAAAAATTCTTAAAAATCTCGGCACTTGCTCCCCCTTGCTAGGTTGCCTTGCTTGACCAACAATCTTTGCTTAACCATAGAAAAAAGATCTTGGCAATCTCTTGCTTGCTTTGACGAAACTCATGCAGAATCTCCAAAACTTTCTCTCCCAACCGAAATTGTCTAATAAACAATCCCATACCAAGTAGATCTACTTCTTTAGACTGAAAGTTATAACCATAATTATTTCTTGGCCGTAGAACTCCTTTCCTCCTACAAAGATTTGCTGCCAAAATATTCTACTCCTAGGTGGTTTTTTGAATTTTAAAAGAACACTTCTCTTTATTCCCCCAAATCCAATCATATATTTCTTAAAATAATCTATGATGCCCATAAAATCAGCTTGAAGAAGATTTTGTAAACACCTAACCATCGCACGATTATGCACCAATTCAAAATTATGTTTGCAACTAATTCTCTTTGATTTAGGAAATGTCCTAAAATAATTCTCTTATTCCTTCTATACATCCAGAATAATTCTTCAAGCCGAATACCCAAGTCCTAAGAAGCTTCCGACTCACCCTGATTAGCTCCCAATTCCATCAGCCTTTTACTGGTAACAGCTTGATAGATATACAACGTTATCAACATCAATTAATCCCAAGCATTTAGAATTCTTCTTGCATAAAATTACAGAATTGTGAATACACTGATCTAAAATAAAACACTCAATAGCATTTAAATACATGTGCTTTCTTATTTGCATTAGAAACTTTGAAACCTTTAGCTTGGGATCTTGTAATCCTTTTGAAGTCCCTTTCCATCAACACCTCATCCAATTGCCGAGATATCCTCTCTAATTCGGCTTTGTCTTTCTTCTTAATCTGCTCAGCATAATTAAGTTTAGCTAAGAGGCGTTTGGATTTGGCCATAAAAACTTTGAGCTTCTCTTGAGCTGGCCAATCACTAGTACCATTAGAAGAATACCCCTAATCAATGCATGCCTTTGAACATTGCTCCATATAGCAGTCATCTTTGGAATACACCCAATTTGCTTCCAAAGTTTCATGGATCTGCTCCAATGACATAGTGCATTCGTGACTAATTAAATATTCATTCCATTCCTTAAGAGAGTGTAAAGTTAAATGGACATTGACATCCTCCATCCTTGGCAAGACAATCGCTAGCTGAAAAGGTTGAGCATTAGCCCTCAAACCACTAATCTCAGTTGAACGTATATTGAAAGAATAAGCTCCATTCCCTTCAGAACATTCTAAATCCAAGTATCCTTCATCTATCACTTGAATTTTATCTTATTCTGATGAATCTGAATGGATCTCCTCAAACTCTTCATTGTCTAGATCCGTATGGCCCGTTTAGTTAGAAAGAAAAAAAATGATGAAAAGTGAAAATGATAGAAAGTGAAGTGAAATAAAAGAAAATGATAGAAAATATATTTTCATGCATGTATTTTGTTGGAATAAAAAATTTATAGGAAAGTGTAAAAAAAATTTCATTCTATTGTTTGAAAGAAATGAAAGTTAACAAAAGTTATAAGCAATTTTTTATAATTGTCTAAAATACCCTTAATTATATTAAATCGATAAAAAAGGAACAAAAATATGTAATTATAATTGAAAATTAAAAAATTTTAAAAAAAATGGCTCGAAACCTAATTCTAGGACAATCACCAACATAAAGGTCTTTGAACTAAATTATATGATTAATCAAATTCATACCAAATTTTTTTTAAATTAATAACTAATAAAATATTTTAAGAAAAATAAGGGTAAAATGAGAAGTTAGTTATAGATCACAACTTTCTTTCATTTTCTTGTGTTTTTTACAAGAAAAAAAATTTAGTTATTTGTGAAAAAATTCAAGCATGAAATAAAATTATTTTTTTTGTCATTTTCCGTTTCATGCTAACCAAACACATGAAAATTTTAAAAAGTTTATCTTTCTTGCATTTTCTATCATTCTCCCACTAAACAAACGAACCCTTAAGGTTAAAAGAAACTTTGTTAGAGTCTTGCTTGACTATCAAATCTGTCTCCTTCCTAACTATAAGCTTCTGCGGTATTCTCTCTACCGAATTTATTTGCACCTCTTGATCTTTTTCTACACTGTGACCATCAAAAGCTATAGCCCTGTCATTTAAGTTATCATTCTAAGATACTTGGGATTATGTTTCATGCTCTACATCCCTGCTGTTTCCCAAACTTTCCTACGTTGGATAAGTGACGAGTAATTGAGCAGAATCTCACGCTATTCCAGATTCGTATGATAAAAAAAATCGAAGATTGGTTCCCCTATACACCAGAAATCTCCCCCTTTTCCCATTGTAACTCTTTATCTTTTTGCTATATTTCCTATTGTGCTAAATTAACACAGATCACTTGCCCTCCAAACTATATATCGTTCACAATTATCTCCCTTTTATCTGCTTTGTCTTCTTTAGTACCTTTTGTTATTTGTGGTTTTCCAATATAGTAAATTCATTTATTAATATTTATGAGTTGTATCATGTAATTTAGAATAAAATAGTACTAGTTTAGAATGAAACAGTTATAAGCAAAAATGAAATAGTTGCATATAAATCTGTAATTAAACAAATATATAAATTGACCCATTTACAGATTAGGAACTGTTATTCAATTTTCTGCAGATCAAGGCTAGTGATTGACTTTGACACTATGTCTTTAAGACATATTTCACCACCCACACTTGATACTTATGAAAATCAAAGCATTTACCTCCTAGGATACACGAACTAAAAATTGTGTTGTGTACTCTTTGATATGCAGACTGCCTAAATGCCAAAAATGTGATGTATTAATGATTGCCTTAATGTCGAAAAAATGATTGATTTAGAATGGTAATGAGCATGGGTTTAAATAGACAAACTAGTGACTGTTTCAGAAATTCAATCCCAATTGTTTAAACAAATTTTCTCCAAAAAGAGAAGGTTTGGTCACGCCCACACTCGAGCCCCGTCAGGTCGGGTCTTGGTGAGGTGGGTGGGTGGGTGGTGCACAGTGCGCGCGCGTGGTCAAACCAAATGTATGTAAGCGCTCGCTCCACTCTTAAAAGTGTGGTACCCCTTGGGGCCTAACCCATAGAGAAAACTTGACTTATATATCCCATGTAGAATTTCTTCCTCAACCAATGTGAAATTGGTGTCAAATCCCACATTGCACAACCTCTTTTTTCACAATTCAAATAGGCTACTTTGGAGCCTATTTTTTCATTCATTTCTTATTTGATTTGAGCAAGTGAATATACTACGTTATTTTCCTCACAGAGTAGAACACGAACTCAGAAAAGTTTACTCGAAAATAATGAGCAGCCGTTTTGGTCCAACAATCCCCCACAAGAATGAAAAATTTGCTGTTAGTATGCAAAAAGTAATGTTGACCCAACTATAGAGAGTACATCTTGGAAAGATCGTGTATCAAAATAGGTAGTTTTTGGCCTTGAACATTCCCTAGTGAAAGCACATTGGATTTACTGGCTAACTAGTGAACGTGATGTTTTAAACTATTTAATTTTTTGATAAATTAGATTAAATAAACTTCTTACAATATCTTACATAACACAATTAGTTCTCATGATTGTGTTCATTTTGGCCCTAAACAATTTCTGACTTTTTTCATAAGCCCTTTAGAGAATCAGCCTTTATAAATTCTCACAGAAGTGACCTCTTCACGTGCATATAGATGATTGTTATTAGGAATACTCTGCTATATTCTACTTGGATTTTCATAGTATAAAATTCATTAAAAGCATAGCTTACCCTTATAAACTCTACAAGCAACACTAATTTATCATAGGAATAGATAGAAGAGATTATCTTCTAAGTGTTTCTTTTGAATCACGCATAATTCAGTTTTCCGTTTGAATCTAGATATGGGGATCTCCAGTTAACTAGATTTATTTACCATTAAGGTGACTCTTTAGTTATCGGCTTTAGTCTCATTCCCCTTGATGTGTAATTTACTTGTTCTCTCATCAAACCTTTAGTAATCAAATCCACTAGATTTTCTTTTGATTTTATATAATCAATAGAAATAATCTCATTTGAGAACAATTGCCAAAGGGTATTACGTCTATGATGTATATATCTAGACTTACCTTTATACATATCACTATGTGCACTACTAATTGTAAATTAACTATCGTAGTGTATAAAAATCTTTGACACAAGTTTAGGTCATATTGAAATATCCTCTAGAAATTGGCGAAACCACTCAAATTCTTCTCTAGTTTTATCTAAAGTAATAAATTCAAATTTCATCGTAGATCTGACAATACACGTTTGCTTAGAAGATTTTCAAGATATAACTGCACTACCAAGTGTAAATGCATAACCACTTGTGAACTTTATATCCTTCATTTCAGATATTCAGTTAACATCACTATACCTTTCAAGTATAGTTGGATACCTTGTATAATGCAATACAAAATTCAGTATATATCTTTAGTATCTAAGAATCTTAATAATTGTCTTATAATGGTCTACTCCCAGATTGTTCATATATCTACTCAATTTACTAACTGAGTATACTATATCAGGTCAAGTACAGTTCCTGACAGACATTAGACTACCAATGATATAGGAGTATTCTAATTATGATCTGCTTTGGCCAGTATTTTTAAATAAATGAAGATTTATATCAACTTGTGTTCTGACAATATTGCTTTCATTCTTGTTGAACTTCTCAAGTATTGTCTCAATATATTGTGATTAAGATAATATAAGTCCACTAGATGTTTTAGAAATTTTAATTCCTAGTATAACATCTGTAAAACCCAAATCCTTCATATCAAACTTATTAGATAACATTTTCTTACTAGCTTTAATAATATCATTATTGCTACCCAGGATAAACATATCATCCACATATAGACAAACAATGACATATCTATTATTTGTGTCTTTGACATAGACATATTTATCACATTTACTAATTATGAATCCATTAGACATCATGACTTTGTCAAATCTCTCATACTATTGTTTTGGTACTTACTTTAAGCTATAAAGTGATATAACGATACTACACATCTTTTTCTCTTGTCCCAGAGGAATGCACCCGTTGGGTTACTCCATATAAATTTTCTCATTTAATTCACCATTTAGGAAAGCTATTTTTATATGCATTTGGTGTATTTCAAGATTATTTAACGCTGTAATAGCTATGAGTATACGAATGGATGTTATTCTCATGACAGGAGAATATGTATTAAAGTAATCAAGGCCTTCCTTTTGCCTGTAATATTTACCTACAAGTCTAGCCTTGTTCTTATTAATTGATCAATCTGTTTTCATTTTCTTCTTGAAATTCGATTTACACCGGTTTACTTCCTACATAAAGATCTATCAACTCACATATATGATTTTGTATGATACATTCAATTTCATTGTTTACATTTTCTTTCCACATAGGTGTTTTAGGAATAAACATTATTTCATTGAAGCTTTGAGGCTCATTTTCTAACAAAAATGTTAAAAAATTAGGACTATAAGACTTGAAAGTCCTTACTCTCTTACTACGTCTAAGTGCATCTTCACTTTCTTCATTTATAAACTCATGGTCTATATTCTAGTCACAATATTATAAGTTCTTGAAGAGAACTCTCATCACATGCATTGGTACAAGGAAAGACATTTTCAAAGAATGATGCACGTCTAGATTCAATGATTATATTGACATTTATATTAAGAATATCATATTTATACACAAGAAAATGGTATGAACTACTATTTCTTACATAACCAATAAATATGCAATCAATAGTCTTTGATTCTATTTTAATCCTTTTAGAAATAGGAATCATCACTTTAGGCCAACTCTCCCATACTTTTAAATATTTGTAGGAAGGACTCTGACTTTTTCATAATTCATAAGAGGTTTTGTCTAACTTTTTGTGGGATAATTTATTTACAATATAGTTTGCTGAAAGTAAAACTCCCCCCTACAAATTCTGAGGTAATTCTGAACTAATCAACATGACATTCATCATCTCTTTTAATGTTCTATTTTTATGTTCAACAATCCCATTTTGCGGAGGTATATGAGGCACAAAAGTTTAGTGAATAATATTATATTCTTAATAGAACCTATCAAAAGGTGCGTCATGTTTATCATCTTAACTACTTCTG